AAACAAATCTTGTACAGCGATGTAGCCACAGAATAATTATAACTCCCTCCTATTTGTGAAACCCCTGTGGAATTCCAAACTGATGCTGAATAACCCACATACAAAAAACAATTCACTGGCTCAGCATAAAAGGTTTGTGCAAAATAGTAAGATGATAAGATGACATATTCAAGGCAGTTGGAACCTTGAAATGTTTCACAGGAGTACCCTGCTTCTTCAGAAGGACAAATGGAGACCAGCAATTCTGCAAATAAGCAAGTGTATATGTCATTATATTAAAGTAAAGCACAAAAACAAAAAGATAAACAACATACAACCTATGCATATTACACATTGAAAGTCAAGTCACTACTGAGAAACAATAGCAGAAAGAACTGAGCTGCTAAAAATGAAAGGGAAATACTTTCTGCAGTGAGAATGAATTACTTCATACAGCTACAAAGGTCAGTGAGGGTTTGTTTTAAAGCTTATTTACTGCTTATTAAATTATGTATGTAATGTTAGTAACCTAGCTACAATTCTACTTTTCCACTTGAGTACAAAATAGGAACAAATAGAAATGGGTGGTCTACAGTGGCCTTTCAGTAAACAATCCATAATACAGATATGCACATGCACGGGGAGTGACGTCATTGTGGCTCGGCCAGTCAAAAATCTGCAGAGGCTGTGATGAAACAAAGGATAAACAAGGACAGCTGTTGTGTCACCACCACTCATACGAAAGGCGTACCAGAAAGGCATGACCCCCTGTTAAAAGTGGTCAATTACACTTTGTTGTAAACAACCCAGAAAGCTGGACAACCAGATCCTCCTCCAGATCACCAAGAGAGAAAAGTAACGATCCTCCAAGCAATGGACCCTAATTAGGGTAACTACACCACTCCGGATGGGATTCAGACTCGTGGTAAGAAACATGCAAAAAAAGAGTGCTCCACATAGTGTAAAACCATTAAAACAATGTTTATTTAAAGTATGGTTGCACTCACATAAGAACGGACATCATTGAGCATAGATAGGCAAAATTTCAAACGTTTTCAATTTTCAAAATGGTCGCCGACACAGTAGCGTGTGTGCGTGGCTCCGTGCAGTATCGTGTGTGTGTGGCTCCGCGCATGCTCGATCTTTACTTTTTCTCTCTTGGTGATCGGGAGGAGGATCTGGTTGTCCAGCTTTCTGGGTTGTTTACAACAAAGCGTGATTGACCACTCTTAACGGGGTCACACCTTTCTGGTAAACCTTTCCCATGAGTGGTTGGTGACACAACAGCTGTCCTTGGATTTCCTTTGTTTCATCACGGCCTCTGGGGATTTTTTCTTTATCTGAATATTTTTTGATGAACAATTTTTTGTATGACACATTTTTCACAGTTTTTTCACTAATCATTTGTCACTTTATTAAGCGCTGCACTTTATGTATATATTGTTTACTGCCTGGTATCAGGGTTTCTAGTGTTCAGCTGCTATGTTTACACTCTATATTTTATCATATATTACAATTTTCTCAAGCACAGGTTTATATATATATATATATATATATATATATATATATATATATATATATATATATATATTCTACATTGTATTACCTTGCTGGGTATTTTAACATAATTTTTTTTATCTGCGGTTTACTACCGCTTTAAGCACCAAAGTCATCACTGTCAGGCCCGGGCTGGCCATAGGGCACATGCCCGATGGGCAGGGGCCGCCGAGCTGAAGAAGAGTGGCCTGTTGATGACCGGGGCTGCACAGCGGGAGGTAAGCAGCGACCATGGTCTGAACAGAGCTAACAAAGACCATGGCCGCCACTCACCTTCCACTGTGCAGCTATGCCCAAAGCAGGGCTGACAGGAGGAGCGGCAGTGACGGCTCCCGCGACAGGCAGGAAGCGCTGCCAAGGGCCCCAACCAGCCTCTGCACACAGCCGCACTGAAAGGACAATGGCGGCCTCTCTCCTTCACTCGCCAGCACACTGTTACAGCTTGGCGGTGGATTGGGCAGTCTCTTTGCTGGGTGAGCTGTCTCTTTGCTGGGTGAGCTGTCTCTTTGCTGAATGGGCTGTCATCTCTGTGTAACGGGCTGTCTCTTTGCTGGACAGGCTGTCCCTTTGCTGAATGGGCTTTCTCTTTGCTAGATGGGCTGTCTCTTTACTGGGCAGGGCTGTCTCATTGCTGGACAGGCTGCCTCTTTGCTGAATGGGCTGTGTCTTGTCTCTTTGCTGGGTGGGCTGTCTCATTGCTGAACGGGCTGTATCTTTTCTGGGCAGGATGTCTCTTTGCTGAATGGGCTGTCTCTTTGCTGGGATGGGCAGGATGTCTCTTTGCTGAACGGTTGTCTCTTTGCTGGACAGGATGTCTCTTTGCTGAACGGTTGGCTCTTTGCTGGACAGGATGTCTCTTTACTGAACAGGCTGTCTCTTTGCTGAACGGGCTGTCTCTTTGCTGGATGGGCTGTCTCTTTACTTGTTGAGCTGTCTCTGGTGGATGGGCTGTCTCTTTGCTAGATGGGCTGTCTCTGTGCTAGACAGGCTGTCTCTGTGCTGGATGAGCTGTGTCTTTCCTGTACGAGCTGTGTCTTTGCTGGGCAGGATGTCTCTTTGCTGGATGAGCTGTCTCTTTGCTGGATGAGCAGTCTGTTTGCTGGGTGAGCTGTCTCTGCTGGAAGAGCTGTCTCTTTGCTGGACGGGCTGTCTCTTTGCTGGATGGGCTGTCTTTTTGCAGAAGGGGCTGTCTCTTTCCTGGTTGGGATGTCACTTTGCTACATGGGGACGTCTCTTTGTTGGATTGGGATCTCTTTGCTGGATTGGGCCATCTCTTTAAATATATAGGGGGCACTGTGATTAGATCTCTAGGGGCACTGCCCTGTACAACCCCATGATGAAAAGGGAACTATGCCCTTTAAAATGCCGTGCCTTTTTTTCACGTCCCATTACAGTGCGGAGGACCGCCTGAATATTCACATGTACCAACTGCCCCGGGAACGCCCTGTGTCCCCCGGTAACATTGGTATAGTTTAAATGCCTGTGCCTTTTTTTTCGTCCCAGTCCAGACAATACTGTACACAGGCTGTTGTAACAGTATAATACTGAATATAGACAAATGTATATTTATATACAAAGATGCTCCAGACAAGATTATAACAAAGTATATTGGGTTTTTTTTTTTATCATTCTGTTCATTCATCTGCAGATCAAAGGAATGAACTAGATCCCCAAATTATGTCAATTAAAGCAAATCTGATAAGTAAATAAAAAGGTTTCCTTTCTTGTATAAAATGGTCCTCTGTTTAATCTCCTATTAACCCTTAGTTTTCTCTAATCACCACTAATAAACTCCTTATTCTCCTTCTCTCTTCAACTATTATTTTCTTGCTTATTCTCTGTTTGTTACCAATTTATTAGCTATTAATATTTGCGCTTTTTTTGTTTTGTTTTGTTTGTTAATATTTTTACACATTTCCCATTTTAAAAAGTGCAAGATTGAAAAAAAAAACTTTATTTAATTTGTAAATAACTTTGCAATGCTTTGTACCAGAAGCACTTACCCCTCTGCAGTGTCCCGGCCATGTCCTCTGGCCGATGCCGGCATCCGTCTTCCGGGTTCTGTTCCCTGCGAGCGTTGGGACATACAGGACATATGGGGGGGACTGAACCGGCGGGAATTTAAAAAATTTAAAAATCTGACATTCACTAAATACACTAAAATCTGATAGTAAAACATTACTGTATCAAACCATTTCACATACATTTTTTCCCCTAGTGCTTTGTCCTGTGCCCTGCCTGCATTTGTACTGTTCTTTCTGCCTGGAAACTGAGAAACGTTCCATGGCATCCAAAAAGCATCCCTTTAGGTCAAAAGCGGTTTTAGACCAGCTAGAGATCAGCGATAGTGAATTAGAATCACTTACAGAATTGAGTGATAATGATTTGTGGGGAAATTTGTCATCAGACACTGAAAATGATTTTGCGACTAAGGTCAGTGATGTGTGAACTTGGCCCTCTATTTCATATTTCAGTGTTTTTGGTTTGATTATATTAATTAATTCAATTTATTATTATATTATTATTTTTTATGATAATTTATTATATTATAATTTATGATTTCGTGTTTCAAATTTTATAATACCCGGGATGTTTACTAGACTCTTGTTCTGACAGATTTCAGTGAGTTATTCCTAAAAATTACAGGCCTACAATAAAAAAACAACATATTTCCATTAAAAACAATGTACTGCTTTGAGCACAGAAATATTGACATAATCATACCGCTAGGGAGGTTAAAACACAGACCACAGTATAGAGCCAATGGTAGTGATACCTTAACAGAGCAGAGAGAACGCTATGACCAGGCTCTGCTCCCAGTTAATTTTTTCCTTCCTTCATTTATATTGAGCTTTGCTTGCTAGTCACATGACTGTGAGTGGTCGCATGACCAGGCTCTGTTCCCAGCTAATTTTATGCTTCCTTCATTTATATTGAGCTTTGCTTGCTTTGTAGTCCAAGCATACAAAGCACAATGCACTTTTGTGAAGCACACCACTGTGCTTTATAAATGTGCATTGCTCTTTTTATTTTTATTTATTACAGGTACTTATATAGCACCATCTATTTACGCAGCAGTTTGTATATATTGTACATTCACATCAGTTCCTTCCCTCAAGGAGCTTACAATCTAAGGTCCCAAATTTACATTCACACACTAGGGCCAGTTTAGACATGAGCCAATGAACCTACCAGCATGTTTTTGGAGTGTTGGAGTGTGGGCGGAAACCAAAGTACCTGGTACCGAATGACGGCTTCACTGCGGCCGGCCAGTTCTGGGCGGACGTCATATGACGTTCTCCCAGAACGCGCTCTCCTGCGCGCCCCAGGGGGCGCGCACCGGCGATCTCCGTGATCGCTGTGTCCTACGGACACAGCTGATCACGAGATGTGGTAAAAGGCCGATCATACCGGCCTTTTACCACGTGATCAGCGGTGTCCAATGACACGCTGATCACAGGGAAATGCAAAGTGCCGGTTCTCGGCTGCACTTTCCTCACGCTGTCAGATCGTGAGGAAAGTACTGCCGAGAACCGGCAGTTGTCAGAGCGAGGATCGGCACCGATCATCAGGGCCACTGATGATCAGTGCCCTGATGATCGGTGCCCAGCAGTGCCACCCACAAGTTCCGCCCACCTGTGCCCAGCAGTGCGCCCACTAGCTCCGCCCACCTGTGCCCAGCAGTGCACCCACCTGTGCCCAGCAGTGCACCCACCTGTGCCACTCTGCAGTGTCACACACCTGTGCCCAAAAGTGCCACCTACCTGTGCCCAGCAGTGCCACCCACCTGTGCCCACCAGTGCCACCCACCTGTGCCCACCAGTGCCACCCACCTGTGCCCACCCACCAGTGCTGCCCACCAGTGACACCCACCAGTGAAGCCCAGCAGTGCTGCCAGTCAGTGCCACCAGTCAGTGCCCAGCGGTTGTGCCAGTCAGTGCCGCCAGTCAGTGCCCAGCAGTGATGCCAGTCAGTGCCATCTATCAGTACCCATCATCAGTGTCACCTATCAGTGCCGCCTATCAGTGCTGCATATTAGTGCCGCCTATCCGTGACACCTCATTAGTGCTGCCTATCAGTGCCGCCTATCCGTGCCACCTCATTAGTACTGCCTATCAGTGCCCTTTAGTGCTGCCTATCAGTGCCCATCAGTGCCGCCTATCAGTGCCCATCAGTGCGCCTCATCAACGCACATCAGTGAAGGAGAAAAAATACCTGTTTGAAAAATTTTATAATAGAAACAAAGAAACTTTTTTTTTTTTTTTTTTCAAATTTTTTTGCATTTTTTAATTTATAGCGCAAAAAGTAAAGCGCCCAGTGGCGATTAAATACCACCAAAAGAAAGCTCTATTTGTGAGAAAAAAAAAGATCAAAATTTCATATGGGTACAATGTTGCATGACCGCGCAATTGTCAATCAAAGTGCGGCAGTGCTGAAAGCTGAAAATTGGCCTGGTAAGGAAGGGGGTATAAGTGCCTGGTAGGCAAGTGGTTAAAAGAAAAACAGCAGTAAAGCCTCAGTAAAGCCATATTGCTACTTAATATATGGACCATTCCATCTAGTGGCCAAAATGTGGTTTATTCCTCTGAAACACTTCAATCAAAAAATATACCACTTTAGGCCACTAGATGGAGCTGATGATCATTGAAAGTCATAGTATCAGAAAAAATACAGGAAAATTCATGCAGCCTGGTTGATTGCTTGTAACATTCAACTCCTAAGTGTTCTGACAGTATCCAGTTTCTGATTCTGAATCATAATGCTGCTAAAAGTGCCCATAATAAGTAATATATTGTAAATGTAAAGAAGTTTACACTGCCATTCTCAGTCTTACGTAACTACTTTTATTTTGCTGTTGTGATTTTATGTTATTTTGGCAAAAGATGGCAATCCACTATAACATCATAGACAGCATTTATCACAAAGATACATTAATCTGAAATATGACTGTAAGTTTTCAAATAAAGCTCCATTCTCCTAATCATTTCGTAGCATTATTTTCGACTGAAATACATAGGGCCTGAAAATAAAGTGAGGTAGACATGTTGTACTTCAAACACAACCAGTGTACATTTCTTAAAATATTTTATGAGGTGTCCAAGCTATAAGAAGACATATGGCAAGTTGTTTTTCAATGATCTTGTGTATGGCAGGGGCAAACATAGACCTGTCCTGCAGATCACCTTCAATGGTCAGAAAAGCATTGCACAGCACTCTTACAACAGAAACTTCCTTTTATGACTAAAGAACACCTAATACTGTATGTACAATGAGTTAAAGTTTTTTTCTTCATGATATGACCTCCAGATTCCCTACTATAAAGGAGGAAAGGATAAATGTGCAGATGTATAAGGAAGTAAGCATGGCTGTAAATCTCATGGACAGTCTGTGTTTAATTACTGCACTATTAAAAGGAAATGGGTGGTTTGACATAGTCACTTCCCATTTCCACCCCCACTGAAAGCGGAACTTTGCTTTATCTGAAGCACAATGCACCTGATGGTCTAACTGTTCTTGACATATCTTGAGATTTAAACTGGAATTTCTACTCGCTGGAGCCTCTTGAATTCAGCAAACAAACAGGCCATTTTGAATAAGTAAAGAAAATAACATTTGCTCACTGACAAATGCAAAGTTAGTGAAAACACTTTAATTTCACGTGCCTGTGCAGACAATTTACATCTATGGGTTGTATAATCAAATGGAGTGAGATTAGAAAATATTTACTCACTTGTCTTACCTAATTTAATTTAAAGCAAGCCTGTGGGCAAAAAAAAAAATACTCTGTGTACCTGCACACTAGGAGGTCTATGTATAAGAAAGTGCCTTCAGAATTCACACAGGCACATCAAATTATCACTGTAATGTTTGTTTCCACTACATCTAGTGACCATATTGCAGTATTTTTCTGTATTTCCTCAGTAACAAATAATACAGCATTGTGGCCACTAGATGAAGCTGATTGTCATAGGAGATAGTCATAATACAAACAATACAGTGATAAGTCGTTGTGCCTGCATGAATGCTATAGACACCTGCACCATCCGTATCTGGGACTTCATCAGGAAGCGTGGCCTCCGCCATGTCTGCCGCCTTATCGATGTCTGAATACTGCACCATGTATTGTGATTGTTTGAGCTCACCACACAACAGTTGTTGAATAACAGTATTTGTACCCTAACAGCAGATATTACACATATTACATCACTCTTTGTGCAAAATTGACAAAAGCCTTAGGAACATGACTTTTTAATAAATGTATACTAAAACCAATACTGCACTACAATTATCCCTAGTTCCATCTGGTGGCCCAAATAAAAATGTAAGTACATTCCATACCTATACCTATTTGGCGCCATCATGTGGTGCAAACTTATATTATTATTATTATTATTATACAGGATTTATATAGTGCCAACAGTTTGCTCAGTACTTTACAATATATTGCAGGTTAAAATTTAAATGTACCCAATACAAAAAAAATGTATAAGGAATAAATATTAATATTATAAATTACAACCCCTAGCATTTCTGGCGGTGGCCATGTTGAGTAAGAGCAGATGATTCATGTAGCATTCATCTAGCATTTACTTTCTGGAATCCATCTGCCCTGAGCTTAGGCACGCAAGTAGGAGGGTGTGCTTAGCTGAGAAAATCCCTCATCCCTTCCTGAAGATTTCTTTGATGTGTGACATCATTTGCCTAGGTCCGGAAAACAGGAAGTAATTGAAGACATGTAAAAAAAAAAAGTTTAAAGTAGATAGACGTAAATAGAATATACCTACCTATCTATATTTTAATCCTTATGCTAGAGCATAAGTATTACAAATTCTCAATGTTAATTCAGAGAGTTTAGTTCTGCTTTAAGATGTGATTGAAATCATATATGCACGGATAAAATCACATATGATGGACTATAAGTTGTAGTCATTGTATTTCCAAGTGTTCAATAATCACGGTTTTGGATGTTTTTGATGTTCGTAGGAGATTTTATATAAGTATATAGGGTTATATGCGTGGCACTAATATATGATATACCTATTTGTGTGTGGAAACACATGTAAGTGTCAGCTGCATTAGTATACACAGGAGATTAGTGATTTTGTTGCGCTGAAGTTCTACTTGTATGCATTTTTTATTAGAATTAACTTATTGGTTAATTTTTTTTTTGCAGATCTGATATTTTTGAGCAAATTGCAGACCATCTGAATAGAAAAGTTGAAGCGTGTATGGCCGCTATTACTGAGCAAAGATTTGTATTTGCATTTTTATACACTTACGTTTGAGTGAAGGGATGAAAAGCTACCTAATGCCTGGCATTTCTTGTGCTTTCACTTCACTGAACGAAAGCACTGAACGCTCAGTTACTGGGAGGCAGTGAGTGAAGCAAAGCATTTTAAGCAGCAAATGTTAGACTGCATCAGCGCTTTCACCCTCTGACTCAAACTGAAGAACTGGGAATAGGTCATGTGGATAAAGCTAAAGCTAGTCATGCATATAGAGATTTTCACTTGTTTAGCCCTGGGCTGAATGAGAAAAAAATCTATTAAGATCCCCATCTATGCTAAACAGTGTGGAAAGGGGAAAATCTCAACTACCAGCTATTGTAATCAGGCATTGCAGCATGTGCATTTGCCTATCTGAACAGTGGCTGCATCTGATAGAATGTAGTGGCTGTATGGTCAGTCAATTTCCACCCAGTTCAGTCAATTTTGGAATCGACTTTTGTCAGGCTAGGTGGTTGACAGCGCCACCCATTGCTCGAAATTTGGCCTGATATTCTGTTCCTATGTGAGACTCCCATTATCATCTATACCAGACTATCATCTAGGATAAGAGTTTGGTATAGATAGAGGGATTCTTTGGCCAGTTTGTTTCCAAATAGAAGCAAAGTGGCCCAGAGCCTTCATTGACCTGCAATTTAAGGCCTCTATCACAAGGAGCGGACTCTGATTTGATCAGCAGAGGATCTGTTCTCTGATCCCCTGCTGAGCAGAGCAGAGTGGGCAGATGACAGATCTGTGTCCGCTCAGTTTATACAGAACAGACACAGACAGAGACTGTTCTGCTCTATGGGTGGCCGGGTGTAAACAGTCTCCGCTGTCTGTTTACACCCCACTGCCTTCTGATCTGCCTAGACAGAGGGAGTCCATTAACACCCACTGGTCCATAGGCGAGAGTCCGATCAGGTCTGCCTGAAAAACAAGTGGACCTGATCAGACCCTTTGTGTGAAAGGGGCCTATAAGGCACTTTTTCTTTGCAAATGTCAGTGTTGTTGTAGTCAGTTGTATACATGGTATAGATGACCCACTTCACAGGAAAGTTAGGAGCATCCACCAGATATGTTTTCAACCTATTGGTGCCGAGTGCACGCAAATATGTGGCCTTTCAGCGGCTGGGCCTTGGAGTCGAGGGGCCGCATAATTGTGTACCCAGTGTAAACAAAGGGTGCGCCGAGAGCGTGTGCCCTGTGCGCCCCTGACATATTTAATGGCACCTCACTACTTGGGGATACTGCTACTTGGGGATTGGCTGTCACGGTGGTTACATGACCCAAAATCCCGCCCGCCTCCCAGCATCACAAACCCCTTTAAGGGATGGGAGGCGCCGTCACCAAGGGGTTAAAGGAACTTTGCACTTTTAATGTTGCCCTTTAAAGTGGTTGTAAAGGCTCAAGGTTTTTTTTTTATTTCATGTGTTCTATATATGAAGGTAAAAAACCTTCTGTGTACAGCAGACCAGCACCCCCCAGTCCCACCCCCAAATTTTGACCTGAGCCCCCTTGAGATCTAGCGATGTGCACTAGAGCAGCGGGAACCCCTCCTCCTCATTGGCTGAGAC